TATCAAGGGTTCACAAGGGTGGCAAGTGGGAGGTAGGGAGGGTGGGAAAAAAGAGCTGATACCAAGGGCCCAAGTAGAAAGAAAATGTTTGAAAATAATGATGGCAACATATGTACAAATGTGCTTGATACAATTGAAGTGTGGATTATTATAAGAGATGGAATAGACCCCAGTAAAACATTTATCTAGTTTGTCAAGTTAATTGAAAAAAATCCTCTTGGGTTTTGTTAAATGTATGCAGAACTTTGGGAGAGAATACTGAGATCATTATACATTCAAATCTCAAAATGAGCTTTTAGTTCTTGTGGTCATGGTTAACTGCCGTTGAGCCTCTCTCTGACTGATGGTAAACCTGGTCTATTGTGATCCCTAGGATCTTCATCAGCTCATTTTAAAATGTAGATCTGCAGGCCTTCCATCCTAATCTTAGTCTGAAAACTTCTAAACATCTGTTGATTGTCCTAGCAATATGCACACTTCTGTTGATAGAGAGATGGGTGAAGTCTGTGCCCGAGGTGAATCGAACCTGGGCCCTCCACATCAAAGGTGAAACTTCTACCACTGAACCACCACTGGCCTCTAAGTACTTGTTAGAAATGTTTAATTTAGGACTTCTAAAAGTGATAAATAAAAGATGAACACAGAAACTTTGTTTGCAACATCTTTGAGTTATTGATCCGTTCGTTCTATGGGGTAAACTTGGCACAATTTAATGAACTGGTCAAAAAAGAAAAAAAAAGAAACGACACAGACTCTAATGAACTAGAAATGTACTTAGAACAAAGAAGTCCAAAGTGGACAACAGCCCATCAACGAGTAGCGCATTATCCCTTGTGCCTTACTCAATTGTGTTTAGAAAAGTGCACGGCCAGATCAGTCATTATTCGCTTGTATTTTATGAATAGATGATCCTGTTATACAACATTTTTGATTAGTAGATCTTGCCTCTCTGTTCTCCCTATATTGGGAAGTAGCCCTCCTCCCTTGAAGTATGGAACCCCAATGTAGTCGTCCATACCCTGACTTCTGGTTCCTCTTCATCCTGTCTCCTTGAGTGTTAGGACTCTACGATTTGAACATGTTTTATGTTATTCATTCGTAATCTCTTTGGAAAAATAAACCCAACACAGGTGGCCAAAAAACCTCAGTGTGTAACAAATAAGACTTCTTCCTGTGTGCTGTCTGCAGTGGCAGCTCACCAAGACTGCTGATCATCTCTTCCAGATGAGGGTTCTGAACAGTGGGAATGGCAGCATTTTCCAAATTACATAATGAAAGTGAAGGAAAGGACATTGGAAACCCTTGTTTTCACTGTGAACTCCAGATGTTTTACAGTGAGCATTAGACAGGCGTAGCTGTAATTGATAGAACGGAACATTCTTTTCCTTCTGTATTTTCAAGCATTACAAGAAAAATGTTGAAAAGTATTATTTTGGGACCTTCATTTAAAGCAATATTGTGAAAGGCAAAATGCACCCGAAGCCATTGTTGTTTTTTAATTGAAGGGTCATATAAGTCACTGATTACGACCTCTGACTAAAGTTACAAAGCCTATCCCAAGAAAAAAATACGTATTCAAATTTCTAAGCTTACTCTCTAAACAATATCCTGGTCCATAGTCCCCCACCTGATACTAATGCCTGCCAAGCTTTTCTTGGAAGAGTTAGTAGTCCCCTAATAATTCTTCAATTGAAACCTTGGTGAATATTTTCTAGTGCATATTAATGTACAGTTCATCCTGTGGACTATGTAAGGAACATTATTTCTTAGTAAATATCATCTTTAGCTTTCATTTTAAAAATCTGGGTTTTTGATGACAAACATATCAAATGCTTATATATTATTTAGTTTTTACTTATAGTTAAAACCTTTTCACATTTGTATTTTTACACATAAATGCAATTTTAATTTTTAGTCTTTTTAAAATTAAAGTTTATATACAAGAATTTTAAACATTTTATTGGGGGTGCATACAACTCTTATCACAATCCATACATACATCAATTGTGTAAAGCACATTTGTACATTCATTACCCTCATCATTCTCAAAACATTTGC